AGAGTGCGTCTCTACAGGAATGCATGTATCAGTATATAAGTTTGGGTATCAGGCCTGCGGGCATCAGATCAGTATATGAGTTTGAGTATCGAGCCTGCGGGCATCAGTTCAGTATTGACAGTATCAGGCCTGCGGGCATCAGCCAGTATTTGAGAATTGGTTATCTGCGGATATCAGATTCTGTTTTGGGGGACAGTGATACAGGGATAATAATCAGTGTTTGAGGACAGTGTGTATTCAGCTTATCGACTGCGTGTTGATTATGCCCGACTGTGTGTCATGCATTTTATTTTAAGCTGTTATGCTGTCCGTTTATCTGTTTATTTATTTCCTTTCCGCTTTATTTATCTTTTGCTAGGTCAGTTTTAGCACGATTGCTTCCAACCCAGCAGGGATTCCCCAAGCACCTTGGACACGAGGTCGTCGACTCCATCGATCTGAGGATCTAATCGACGGACAGCCAGTGTTCCACTCTCTACCCCCTGTTACCAGAAGGAAACAGAAAAAGCGCAGTGTATCGGAACAAAGAGCACCAGAACAGTGGTTTCCCCCATCAGTGGACAGTCAGATTGGGATCCCAATTACTGCTATAGAAATAGACTTGCCAATAGTTCAGACGAACCAAGGCAGTTTGACGGCACCGACAGGAGTTGAGGATATGATACGCCAGATGCAGGAAACCATGCAGGCTATGCAACAAGATGCAGTTCGCCGAGATGAACTCGCTAAGCAGCAAGCTGAGATTATGACTCAGCAAGCGGAGCTGATTACCAGACTGCAACAACAGAGTACAGCATCTGCTTCACACCAAATCCCTCCTCCGGCAGGAGCCCCATTACCTGAGAAGGCTCCTGCTATTCAGGACGTCCCTCCCAACACCCAGAATACTGTACCGACTATCCAAAATCTGCAAGAGGACACAAGTCTTCCAACGGGGCCAGCTCCGCCCCCGATTCCACCACAACTGTCCAAGGTCCATACACCCAATCACCCGGACTCTCCATCCGAGGTCAAGGTTGATCAAACAGCTCTGAAGTTGAGCAAACTGGAGAAGCTTTTCAAGAAATCCCAAGGGGCCAAGGCTATGCCGGATATCGGAGACGGATATACCGAGGAGGCCGTAACGCTCCCCGATAGGTTCAAAATGCCACAAATCGACCGTTTTGACGGGACTGGCGACCCCATGGTCCATATCCGACTGTTTGCAGATGTCTTGCGGCCAATGGGCCTAACACGACCACAGAAGCTCTCACTATTCGGCCGAACCCTGTCGGGTGTGGCCTCCCATTGGTACGCAAGATTACAAGATGAAGTGAAAAAGAATTGGGATGAAATGGCTGAGGCCTTTGTCACGCAATATTCGTACAACACTCAGATCGAGATCACAACCCGTGATCTTGAAACGACAAGGCAAGAGCCTAAAGAATCTTTCTCGGACTTTGTGATCCGATGGAGGGCAAAGGCGTCAACGATGACTCTAAGACCCACTGACAAAGATCAGATTCGGATGATTGTGCGCAATCTCCACCCCAAACTAATGCAGAGGATGATCGTAGTCCCTTTCCCCACTTTTGCAGACTTACATGATATGGGGGTGCAAATAGAAGATGCTATGAGACAAGGTCTGTTTGACCAGGACAGAGAACAACCGAGGAGGACCTTTAACCGTAACAACAATGCGGGCCCGAGTGGCGCTGCTAATACAAGAGCCTCGGAAGTTGGTATGGTCACCACCACTCCCCCTCCCCCTCCAAGGCCCATGACTGCCACACCATTCTCCGGCGCGTCCGGAAGCAACTCACAAAACAGCCGATTCCAACCTCGGGGCCAAAGAACCTTTACCCCACTATATATGCCTTTGACCAAGGTTCTGGGAATATTGATCAGAAAAAATCATTTAAAACCCCTGGAGCCAAAGCCATTACCGAATCCACTCCCTCCCTCTTATGACTCGTCGAAGTACTGCGCATACCACCAACAACACGGTCACGACACCGACCGTTGTTACAGATTGCGTCATGAGGTCCAAGATCTTATTGACAAACAGGTGATCGCACCCCCAGACAAACCCAATGTCACAACCAACCCTCTCCCACCACATAACCAACCTCCCCCTCCTAAAAGAATCAATCTTATCCAAATTGGGGTCGCATCTTACGATCCCAGCATCTATATCACCCCGTCCCACCTACCCAAACCGGAGGTGTTCCTCCCTGATTGCACCAACTCCTTGTGCATGGTGGACATCTCCAAAACCCAACCAGAACCGATGGTGGTGACCGTCGAAGACAGGGTAGGGCAGATTTTAGAGGAGAATGAGATTGTTGAATCTGGGACTGGACAGAATTTTGCTGAGGAAGCCTATGATCCGAGCAAGTACATCCTATCAACGAGCCGAAATGGGCTAAGTGTAGAATTTCCCGAGACAGGAGAACTGTGCATGATCCGGGGGGACGGATCTGGGCTATGGGCAGATGATCAGACAGCCGTAGAGGAAGACTTTGCTAACCTGCAATTTCTTGATGACCAGGAACTGGGGGATACGTCGATCAACTGGAATGATTATGAGGGATCAGCGGAGGCCACGGGATGGCTTGAGGATCAACCGGATGCAGTGGGAGAAACCCAACCAGAACAGAGCCCGGCAGGGGCAGAAGTATCAGTTATGGCCGGAATGGCCGAAAATCAAGTTGTATCGCCGGAGAGCGCCGGTGTTAAGAATTCCGCTCGAGACATGGGCATTGTAGATACAGAAATTGTTAAACAACCAGCTGTACTGATGCAGTTGGAACAAGAAAAGTTTGAGGCTGCTGAGAGAGCTAGGAAGGCAAAAGGCCCTGAACGGATTGAAAGTGCTGTATGCACGAAGACAGACAATGCTGCGAGCATATGGACAGAGAGCACTGAGAGTGCGAGTAGACCGGAGCCAGACAGGTGTCTGTTGGCTGCCAGTGGAATGTGGTGGGAAGACGACGACTTGTGTCTCGCCCACACCGATGAAGACTGGGGGAGTGGTCAGCCGGATGATACTTGGTATCTTGATGAAGTGGATCACATGACAAGAAGTGGGCGGTACATCAAGCCCCCACACCTAGATCAACCCGAAACATCCGGGAAAGATAGAGAAGCAGAAAAGCAAAAGGAAAAGCAGATTGAGGAGGAAGCTGTGCTGAAACAGTTAAAGAAAATACAAGCAGACATCTCCATCTGGGGACTGCTAATGGCCTCACGAGTACACAGAGAAGCTGTCCTATCTGCTATGGACAAGTCCAAACTTTCCATAGACACCACGCCTGAACAGCTGGTTGGGCTGGTTTTTCCGGGAGGAGGTTCCCCGGCATTAACCTTTTCGGACAAGGAGCTACCGCCTGAGGGCACAAGTCATAAGGTGTATTTAGGAGAACATGTGGCTTTTCCGAATAGGTGCCAACAGATAGGAAACCTGTTCAGACAAATTCAACAGGTAGAAAAACCTGTTCGGGGTGGATTCAATAGGTATGAACTTGTTCGGGATCTGTTTAGGTGAAGGAAAAAAACTTGACCAATTTATTTTAAATTTTGAAATCAAAATTAAAAATAAATAAATAAAATACAAATGGTTTTTGCCCAAAAAGATAAGTATTGGGTCGAATAAGCCCAACCCAAATGGACAGCGGCGCGCGTATGGTTTTTGTTTTGGGTCCAATGGATCTAGCTTACTTTACCCATAACCTCACATTTTTACAAACTTGGGTACCCCTTGGGGCCTATCCCAAGTATCCCAAGCTAGAGTTTATGTACCCATATAAATCGTTAAGCTTTTCCAATGTGGGACAAGCACATTTTACAAATGTGTAAGAAACTCACCTAAAGCTATATCCACGAATCCGAAAATGCACGTTGAATTTTCATTCATCCGGAAATGATTTTGAGTAACCAAATATATGATGTTATTCACTGCGTGGCATTAAACACGACTACAATTACAAACGTTTAAAATAACGCTTGAATCCTACTTTAATTAATGCTAAAAGTTAACAAAAAATAAGATTTATATAAAGCCATTTTCCAACATGTTTGGCTGAGTTAACTCTCCCATAATGTGTTCTCCTTATGCACGAAACATGACAAATACAGTCATAAACTCTTCCACTTAATTGAGCTCAATGTCGTTAATTGGCATTTATCCCTCTCTTAGAGTTGCACCACATTTTCCCTTTCACATTTCCCCTCCCCAATCTATAACTATCTTAATATTTATCATCGTCTTAAAATATTGTATTACATGTTTTCTTTAACCATTTAAAATCTTATTGATTTGACTATAACTCATATGGACGTATGTAATTTTATTTTATTCTATTTTTTTAGGTCAAAATATATAATTAGATAAAATTAAAATCAATTTAAGAAATTAAGATGCACTTTGTCCTAATTAAAGCTATGTTTGGTTTTGATTTTTTGGTTAAAAAAACACAAAAGACAAAATTAGCTACATAAATTAATAAGATAAAATGTCACATTCAAACCATAATCATTACATTTTTTTTCACAAAAGTCAAAAACAAAAACCAAACGAGGGTAAAAAGGCCAGGCTAAAATAGCCAAAAAGCCAGGCTATTTTAACTATTCCCAAACGAAGACTAAAATTACATGAGTTAATTGGAGTGTTTAAGAAAATGGTTGAGTTAAAATAGCCCATTAAAAAATAAAATAGACTAAAATAATTAATAAGATAAAATATTACATCTAATTTATAATTATTTCATTTTTTCTCTTACTTAAATAAACTACAAAAAAAACGCAATTATTTTAACCAAATTAAAATAGTTCAAAAAATTAAATAACTAACTAAAGTAGTTAATTTCCCAAGGTCTTTATTAATTTAACAAAAAAATATATAAAGAAAGGAGATGGCCCGGTCCAACTACAGGCCCACTCGATTCAAAAAAAAACTACAGGCCCACTATCCACAGATCAAAAAGCAATCATACTAAAAAAAAACCCGAAGGTTACCGGATTGAACCGGTTCAAAAATCTCAAACCCTAGATGGTACCTCGAATTTACCAATGCTTTCGCAATCTATAACTTTATCGCTCAGCGCCCTCTCTCTCTCTCTCTAAGCATCTTCGTGTTTCCTTCGCCTAGGGTTTTTGTTCAATTGGATTCTCTCATCTGCAGGTACGATTGTTTCCTAGGTTTTCCAACAGTATATCAGCGTTAGCGAATTAGGGTTATATTAAGTTCTTATAATTTGTATTTTTTGTTTGTTGAAAGACTCTTCGCTCTTTGGATTTGTATCCGATAAACTATTTACTAGATTTATTTTATTTTATTTTATTTTTTTCAATTTTTTTATGTGTTGTAACCTTGTTTGTCTGAAACTGTTGTCTTCTCACAGTTCTCTTTCTGTCTCTCTCAAGAATTCTTGTTTTGTTTAACTGAGTTAACCATCTATCTCTATTAAAGTTCTAATTTTTTTTTTCAGTTTCATTAATGGGTCTTATGAATTTTATACAAATTCAGATCCTCTCTTTTCTACCTCTCTTGACTCTGAATTTTTCTGTTTCATTGATAAGAATTTGTGGGATTTGTTGTTTGGGGTGACTGAACTGAGACTAATGCAATTAGCATTCAATTCTATAAGATATTTATTATTATACAAAAGATTATAAGTCAAACTTCGGTTTTTTTCTTTCCTTTTCATTGATTTTGATGGATGGCTAGTTTTGAAACTTATTTCTGGTGTCATCAGGAGGCAATTATTGATATAGAAGAATGGGTGAGACTGGGAAGCGATATCGTTCCCATAGGGACAATGATGGAGATAGAAAGAATCAGAAGAGACGGGGAAATGATAGAGATGACAAGGGTAATGATGAACTGATCATTTATAGGATTCTATGCCCTGATGGGTTTATTGGGAGTGTGATTGGGAAGAGTGGGAAAGTGATAAACTCGATACGGCAAGAGACAAAGGCCAGGGTTAAGGTTGTTGACCCGTTCCCTGTTGCTAAGGATAAAGTTATATTAATCTATTCCTACGTGAAGGATAAAGATGAAGTAGAGGTGGATGACGAATTCGATGACGGAGAGCCTCTTTGTCCTGCCCAAGATGCTCTTCTGAAGGTGCAAGCTGCAATTGCAAATGCAGTGGCTTCAGTTGGTGATTCGGACAAGAAGTGGAAAGACAAGGAAGAGTGTCACATTCTTGTTCCCGCCAGCCAGGCTGCCAACATTATTGGGAAGTCTGGGTCCACTATAAAAAGACTGAGAAGCAAGACAAGGACAAACATTAAGATTACTGCAAAGGATGCTAGCGATCCCACTCATTCATGTGGAATGGAGTTTGACAACTTTGTTGTGGTTAGTTATTTTTTTAACTTGAAAATTATGTGGTATGTGTATATATTTATTTGCATTCAGTTGCTTTAATGGATTTGGATAGTAGAATGCTGAATTTTGAAAGATGATGTCTAAAAATAAAATCATTTTACATGCTATCTCTTGTAATGCGGCCAGATGTTATAGTATCTGAAGAACCATATATATATATATATATTTTGGTTTTTTGGTAGCCTGGATTTATTTTTTTGTATGGGTAATTGTTTACTGTGATGTAAATTTTGCCATTACCAATGAATAAATGTCAATACAAACTACAAAGGATATATAATTTGCATACTATTGGAGAAGAGAGAAGGATGACCTGTTTAAATGTTTTTCAACTTTTTCATTACTAACACTCTGTTGGTCCTACTGATGGAATTGATATTAGGTTGTTAGATGCGCTTTCTTAATAGATGCCTTCCTCACTCAAACAACATAAATATTAGTAGATTTTTTCACCCAATGGAATTTAGAAATTGGTTATTGATGTTCGTACTTATATTTTTTGCTGCATGGATTTAAGGTAAGTGAATAGAACAAAATAATTTCTGCCATAACTGCTATGTACATTGTGCAATATTGTGGGATATATTGCAGTTTTTATCATATAGTGAATTTCATATGAATTATGTGGAAAGCCATTTGCGATCCATCATATTTCGCAATCTTTTGTGATTCAATCACATTTATACATGAGCAGCTGACCTGGCCTAGTGGATGGGTCACCGTACTCCCATACTCACTGGTCGGGTTCCATTCCCCACCTCGCCTTAAGCACTGCGATGTTACCTGAAGTACTTCTGTTCTACCCAAAAAAAAAGAAAAAAAAAAGAAGAAGAAAACATTAATAGACTGCAATTCTACTCTTAAAAATCTCGATATGTTGCCATATATTTTATTCCATGCTCAATACTTGTGCACAATTGTGTTTGCAACACAGATGTGGCCTTTCAGTCACTATTTACATTGTTTTCCAATTATTTGGACTTATTTGTTTTGGAAATGGCCTGATATTGGTAAGATTTGTGTGGTTTATGAAATTTCTGTTGCAATGTAAATAGGTAACTGGTGAGCCCGATGCAGTGAAGAGAGCATTGTTTGCAATTTCAGCAATCATGTACAAGTTCAGTCCAAAGGAAGAGATTCCTCTTGACACCAATGTGCCTGAAGCCCCTCCAAGCATCATTATCCCTTCAGACGTTCCTATTTATCATGCTGGTGGACTCTATCCAAGTGTAGATCCTATTGTCCCATCCAGATCTGTTCCTCCTGTCCTAGGTGCTACACATGTTCCGGAACTTTCAGGGTATGCTGATGCAGGGAGCACTTGGCCTGTTTATTCTTCTGCCCTTCCTGTAGTTTCTGGTTATGGTGGTACATCAAGATCAGAGGAGTTAATTGTGAGAGTGCTGTGCCCCTCTGACATGATTGGGCGCGTTATTGGCAAGGGAGGGGGTTCAATAAAAAGTGTGAGACAGGCCAGTGGTGCTCGTATTGAGGTTGATGATAAGGCTGATCGTGATGAATGTATCATCTCCATCACGTCAACAGAGGTATAGCTTTCTTTCTGCTTCCTTTTTATTTATATTCTGACTTCTTTGTCAAGTGCCCAAAAGTTAGCAGGAGGACAGGGAGAAACTGCTCTGCCGCTTGATTTCCTCACTGTTTTTAACTTTGATTGGGGAATTGTAACCCAGATCAAGTTACTACACACGCGCACACACACACACACATATATATGTACATTTGGACATCTCTACGTGCTATCATGGGTTTGTAAAATACCTTTATTTTTTGAAGAATTGTTTTTGACTTCATTTATTGTGCCCCATTTATTTTTATTTTGATGACTGTATGTAATGGCATCTAAATACCATCATTTATCTGTATCCATTTATTTAATGTTGGATCATGTTCTGAGTTGTTGGGTTGGGAAACCTGCTGTTGAGGGTATTCTTCATTCCATGTGTCTTGATATTTTTGCACCACTTTTTTTGGCAGTCCATGGATGACATGAAATCCATAGCAGTTGAAGCGGTTTTATTGCTGCAAGGGAAGATAAATGACGAAGATGATGACACTGTAACTATCTGGCTTCTTGTTCCATCTAAAGTTATTGGTTGTATAATTGGAAAAAGTGGTTCAATCATAAATGAGATCCGAAAGAGAACTAAAGCTGATGTCCGTATCTCCAAAGGCGAGAAGCCTAAGTGTGCTGATTCCAACGTTGAACTTGTTGAGGTATATTTCATGCTGTTTCGATAAGCTTTTTAGTATAATTGGTATTTTTGTGTAGTTTTACCTTGCTTTCCATTCACGTGTTTTGTTCTGCATAGGTAGTTGGGGAAGTTAGTAGGGTGAGGGATGCACTTATTCAAATCGTTCTGCGGCTTCGAGATGACGTCTTAAAAGACAGGGAAGGTGGTCATAATACTTCTGCTGGTGCCGATTCTATGTATTCTGGTGGTACTGGTTTTTCTATGCCTTCAGTTTTGCCTAGTGTTCCCCCAGTTGCTCCAATGGGTTATGAACAGAGAGCTGAATCTGGGAGTGGCTTAGGCATGCTTTCTTCAGGCAGCCTTTATGGATATGGATCTTTATCAGTATGTCAATGCTGTGGCATTTGATTTCTTTGTTATTTCCTTAGTGTTATGGTCATTTGATATTTTTAGATCTTGTTATTCATTTTTTTTCCAGTTGCAAGTTTTCTTTGGTACATTAATGGCAATGTGCTTGCTTATTTTTCTATATTGTTTTAATATTGTTACTTAGGCATTGTTTCCTAAAACTGAAAATTGAAATATAAAAAACTGAAAACTTTAAAAGTTGAATTTTTTAATTTGAAAAACTGTCTGGTATCTACTGCAATTTATGTGCTAAATAAATTTAATCAAATTATTCGATATGTAAAAAAAGTAATACTTTGAAATTTATTAATTTTTCCTTTACACTTCATATCGTGGTGGTGGTTTGGTAGCAGCGTCGTGGTGGTGGTGGTGTTGCGAGACAGTGTTTGTGTAGTAAGATAGTTGCGGCAATGACAGTGGTAGTGTTGGCATGATGGTTGTGGTTATAAGGAAGTGGTGTGAGGTAGGATAGAGTTGGTGAAGATGGTGGTAGTGGAGTGAGTGATGGCGGCAGTGGCGGTTGTGTGATGGTATTGATGGTGGTGCTAGTGATGAAGTGATGGCGGAGGTAAAGGGGTGGCTGCGGCGGTAATAGTAGAGTGACAGTGATGGCGGCGATGTTGTGATAGTGTTGGTGGTATATGGTGGTTATATAGTGGTGGTGCTATAGTGGTGACAATGGCGGCAGTGGTGATTGTGTTGATGGTGAAAGATATTGTTTGTCTCACCTATGAAACCTGTTGATTGTAATTCTTGACGATTAGATGCATTTTTAGGGAAACATGTTAATTAACTTGTCAATGTCTCACCTCTGAAACATATTGTTAATTATTTCATCGGTGTGTGGCTTATTGTCTAGTTTTTCAAATTTCAAGTTATTTTTTTGTGGGATTTATTGTTTGCTCTTTTTCCTGCATTGGTGTTTATCTCAGTATTTTATTATTTAATTTTTTCACTGTTTTGTCCACTTAATTAATTTTTTAACTCCACCCCTGTTCTTGTGGTTCTTATTTGAGTGGCTGTTTCTCTTTTGATAGATGGGAGACAATGGCTATGGATCTTTGTCTTCATACTCGTCAAAGATGTATGGAGGGTTAGTATTATTATGGCCACGAGTTTCTTACTATATTTCCCTTCTAATTTGATCCTGATGTCTTTATACCATATGTTGTAAACAGATTGCCGCCTCCATCAACTTTTGAGATGGTGGTTCCTGCTCATGCAGTGGGTAAAGTGATGGGTAAGGGCGGGGCTAATATAGCTAACATCCGTAAGGTTGGTTCTTTCTTTCTTCTTTTCTTAATCCACTTAAATTTTGGTTGATTATCTTTCATACGGAGGGAGCTCACATTTTGTTTGGCGGTCCATGACTAACATTCATGGGGATCATAAACTTGAGGATTAAATCACTATATCATTGAGGCAAATATCATACAATATAATAGTGGTGCCATTAGCATCAAAGAGGGGAGGTGGACTAATGTGCTCGACATCTAATTTGGTTGATTTAGGGCATAGAGTCATAGATTGAACCCTATAAAATGTCTCAGCCTTTTTCGTGTTCGATGCCCAATACTTTAGTCTGCTTCAACTCTTGTTTTTTAACTGTCCATCAGATTTCATCCTGAGATACAGTTGATGGCCAATACTTTAGTCTGCTTCAACTATTGTTTTTTAACCGTCCATCAGATTTCAATCTGAGATACATAATTGCTTCTTGGCGACTGATTATCTATCTGTTGGGGAGGTTACTTGGGCCCATAACTAACCTTGAACTCTCACTTTGATCAAATGACATTCTCACTTGCACTTGTTTCTCTTCCAGATATCTGGAGCAGTTGTAGAGATCTCTGAATCCAAATCTTCCCGGGGTGATCGTGTGGCTCTAATATCTGGCACATCTGAGCAGAAGCGTGCAGCTGAAAACTTGATTCAGGCATTTATAATGTCTACCTAAAATATGAGGATGCTTCTTGGTATTTGAAGGTGAATTCTGGTTTAGATCATGGAGCATTCTCCCTCAAATGTTTACTCTCTCTAGTTCCTTTAGGTCATGTCTTGGAGAGGGCTTCATTTCTAGGTTTTGTCTGTTGCAATCCTGTTTTTTTTCATAACAAAGCCTATCAAGATTGTGCCGGAAGATTCACTGCAGGCTCTATTTTCTGTGGATATAGGTTGTCTATGTTGCTTAATCGATTCTTCATCTGCGGCTGTCTTAGAACTGATAGGATCTTCTCTCCTTTCAAAGTGTTTTATTAATTCTTATCCTTGGTTAGTGTGGATTCCATCTTATTTGCAGATACTGTTTTGCTCTATAACTTTGATGTTCGTGCCAGAGTACTTTCAGTAATAACCATAATTGTCGGATTCATAATACATGGATGTTTTAATTAGTGTTGCCATACAATCCTCTTATTCTCATCTTCTTGAGAAGATATCCTGTCTGATGCACAATGAAATGAACTTGGTTCTAAACTCTTTTTCTTTTTACTTCCCTGACTTGGTTGACAATTACAGATTAGTTTCACAGAAAAGGTACACCTCAATTTCTTGAACTAATGACTTATGCATGCTATATGGCATTGTCCTTTCCCCCGTCTTTCTTCTAATTTGAGTTCTGTGCTTGACCTGTTTATATGAAGAATCTACAGCTAAAATTAAGTCACGAGAATTGTCGTTTCTTCAAATTCCAGCTGATGCTTTGTCTTTGTTGGGATTCCTTTATAACTTATGCCATCATGAATCTTTTTTGGAAATCTAATTCTGTGATTCCAGAAAAATCAATAAATGCTTTTTATCTAAAAACTTGTCAGGATTGATGGCCTTCTAATGGTCTTTTAGAATTTGTCTATTAATCCTGCCAACCTTTTCCATTCTTAGTTGACTGTTCAATAGAAATTGTGGCTCACAAGAATATACTTAATAGTCCTTGGTTATTTTGTGCAAAGGAGCTTTCCACCTAATTTATTACACCACTCTGAATGAACCTCACTGCTGCCTTCTGGATTCAGCATTGGAGCTCTTCCTTTTTTTATATAGCCACCACTCTTATATTTTCAAGTGATTGGGTTCCCAATGCCTTCGTATGGCTTAGTTCTTTGATTCATAAATCTCTATTGCTTTGGTATTAGGACCAAAGAAAAAAAAAAAAAACCCTAGAAGCATAAAAGTTTTCTTGGGTTTTCAAGTAGCCAGTCTGGTTTGTGGGAGCTTCTATTGACACAACAAAATTATCTCCTATTCATCCCTAAGTGTGTATTTTTTAATTACAATTTTCTATCCCTTTCTAAAACTACCATTAAACCCACAAACACTTGAAACCCAATTTGTCTGCACAACCATCTTTTACACCCCTCTCCTTTCAAACCCTAACTCTATTGCACCACCAACCACCACCCTCGGCGCAGCTACTGCCACCACCTCTGACTACCAACAGCGACTGCTGCCACCTCCGATGACTGCAATGCCCGTTCCCCCTCTCCCACTGCAACCCCCCTTCCCAACTGCAAACCCCCCTGCAACTCTCTCCTCCCTACCCTTCTCCCCTCCCGTCCTTTTTAACGTCCCACCCATCCCCAACCCCTCCCCCTCCATTTGGTGGTCGGTCGTTGAATGAACACCATTGATTTGGCATGAAGAAACCAAACGAAGGCCATTGGTTCAGCTTCGGTTGTCTGGACCTGAACATTGGCATTGAATTGGTTCCATGAAGCCACACAGAAGCCATGGTTTGGCTCTTGTTATCTGAACTTTTTCTTCTTTTTTGAAAATCCTAGATTTTCTCTCTCCCCTCTGAAAATTCTATATTTGAAGTTTGGGGTGCGTTGGGGGGCTGCAGGGTGGTTGCCACTGGGGTGGGCGAGAGCTGCAGAGGGGGTAGGTCACTGGGATTGGATAGAGCTGCTGTGGGTCGAGGCTGCGGGTTGGTGGTCACTGGGGTAGGGGAAGGAGGTCGGGGGTGGGAGAGGGCTTGGAGGTGGTGGCGGCTGTGGTGGTTGGCAGTTATGGTTGAGGTGGGTGTGAGGTTTGAAAGGTGCAGGGGTGTAAAGAGATGAATGGAGGTTAGTAATGAGGGTATGTTTGAAATTATGAGAGGTGAAAGGAGATAACATGAAGAATTTTGAATTTTTGATGGGGGTTTAATTAAAAAATGTGTAAGGAGATCATTTTGTTGTGTAAGTAGAAGCTCTGGGATAAATATCCAACCCACCCAACCCAGTCCAATTCTCTGTTTCACTGTACTTCGTGTGTTTTCTTCTATCATATTGCTACTTATCAATGCATCGTTTTGGTGTGTTTCTACTCTTTGGACCTTGCTATATACTTGCCTTGCAGGAGATAGCTTAGTTGCCATTGTTCTATACTTCCTATTTAATTAAGATAACAAAAAATACCCATCTGACTTGCACTCCTGCGTAACCTGACAACTGTATTACTCTGTTATGAACTACTCTAGACTTTTTTCCATATTTCATGAAAAATATCTCGTGTTTCGTTCCCATTCCCATCAGACTGAATACTATGATTTGCATTTCAAATAGGCATGAATACATCTATAGGATAACTTTGGCCTTGAAAGTTATTTGGACTTTTTATATGATATCCGCGATTCCTCTATCTATTGTCTCTTCAAGTGGGTATATGGCCGTTTTGGAGGGATTCTTCTGCGGGGTTTTGCAGTAGCTCTCTAACTTACCGCTTTAAAGCTTAATGTCCTGTATACTGGGTACGAGTCTGTTGACTTTTTTGAACTAAGGATATAAGTTTGCAGCCTGTCTTCTACATTTAGTAGTAGTATTTCCACTCTGACCTAGAATCTATAGCGTATCTCTAAGAAATCAAGCTGAATATAATCTATCTTCATTCATTTTCTTAATGAACAGCTGTTAGAAAGATCAGTTACAGACCCATAACCCCATCCTTTTAGTGTTACATCTGAACTTAGCTGTAGTCTACCAGACAGATATTGTTTTTGTAGTGAAATGTTGGTGATGACATCTTTCTACTCCAGAAAAGTTATGCTTGCCTTTAATATGTATCAAGGCATCAAATGATACTCTGTTTCTATCTACTCTTGTAGTCTGTTTAGCGCGTTCGTATCTTTCTTCTTGCACCATTTTCCCTGTGGCATATGCCTGTATCAGTTTATCGTTTCAGAACTTAAGTGGGTGTGTTTGGGAACATTGTAGTAATGCAGTGGGTGTGGCTTCTTCTGGGAAAAGGGTGACTGGAAAGATTGATTTATGTGTGGCCTTACGTGTTCGGGTTGTGTAAAGCTTTTCTTGTACACTTGGATTTCATTATTTTTGGTTGCTCTGGTTTCAAGCCTTGGTGGTTTGAGTGCTGAGGTTGAGAGGGGTTATAAAGTGTATTTGGAGTTGGAAGCATTTTGGAAAAAAAATTTTGCTTTTGTTTTTGTTTATTTGAGGATGTGTAGGGATATGATTAATTATCTTTGAGCTATGTAGAATTATTAGAGAAATTTATTTTATTTTAGCTGTTTCATATGGATTTATAAGGTTGTTGAGTCGAGAAGAATGATTCATGTAGCCGACTCTATTTGATGGGACTTAAGTTTTGTTTGGTTTGATTTATATGAATTTATAAGGTTGGAAAATCAAATCTCAAAAGATTTATTAAAATTTTTATCAAATATCTCACCTAAGCGTGGGTCTCATGCGGGACCCGCATGGTGTGGGTCCCACACATGTGAGACATTTAAGTAGAAATCTCTAGCATTTTCTGAACCAGTTTATACGTATTTGTCAGTTATGGCTTTGCTTAGTTTGTTGTCATTCTTTCATATTTTCCCTTTTTTTGTTTGTTTCTTTTGTCTTTTCCATTATCTTTTTGGGAAAATTGTAAATAAGTGGTATTTTTACAAAATATTTACAAATTTATGGAAAAACTGTAACTTTAATTCCTATTTTTATTTTTTATATTTAATGTTAACAATCATTTTATTTATTTATTTATTTATTTTAAGGTTCACAACAAAAATTAAATATATTTTCAATCTTTTTTCTTTTTTTTTTAAATATATTTAATGTTAACAATTTTTTTTTTATTTTATTTTTATTTTTTTTTAAAGGTTCACAACAAAAGTTAAATATAACTTCAATCTTTTTTCTTTCTTTTTTTAATATATTTAATGTTAACAACCTTCTCTTTTTTTTTTTTATAAAGGAAATAATGATAAAAAAATATAAATTTTAAAATAATAATTTGTATCATGCTAGTTTTTTTTCATGCCTCATCTTTTAATATTTCTTTATACACTTTTTATAGGTTTTAATTTAGATTTGCATTGGTGATTCAAAATGTTTGTTTCATAAACTTTGTAATAAAAGTTATTCATGTAAAAAATTAATTTTATTGGACAATTATAAATTTGAGAATAAATTACATTTTTGTTTTATAAAACAAAATTTGCATAGATTTATTGTGAGGTGATTCAATATAAGTTTGAATTGATACCTATAAAAAAAAAAGTATGAAAGTGTTTAAAGAGATGAGATATGATGGCAAAATTATCCTCCCAATACTCACAACGACAAAGTTTTCATCAATTAAATCACACCAAACTCAACCTTATCCTGGGGAACGATAATGTGCAGCCGGGGGTCTTGAATCGGCCCAATCAGATGATGACAAATTAGAGGCTATGTAGTGCATTCGTGGAAAAATTATTTATTAGTTGATTCTGGGAATCTCAATCACAAATTTTTATCTCTCATTTTTTTTTAATTACTTAATATAAAACTATGATTCTTCACTTTTCCCATTACAATACATGCGTCATGTAGTGATGATCAACCAATAACTTTTCAACAATGCTACGTATCATTAAATTTTTATTACTAACCCCATCATTAATGATGTGACAAGTAAAAAAATTAAGACACAAAACACATGTGACAGAAGGTCCTAGTGCAACCACTAATTAGTGGTCTTTACCATTTTCCATAACTTTTGGCAGAGGTGACGTACGCCGTAGTAGCGTATCCAATTCTATCCTATCCTATCATCTATTGGATTTCATACGTGTACTCCACTGTAAACTCTTCAATCAAAAAATTTTCAAAATCAAATCCTGGAGAAACTTTGTAGAATTATATAAAACTATACAGCTTGTTTGATTCTAATTTTTAAAAAATAGTTTTCAAAAAATTTTAGTTTTTTATTTTTTTTTATTTTAATGTTTTCAATCAATTTTTTTAATATTTTAAGTAATTATTTTTAATTTTTAGACACACTTAACATAAATATATTTTAAAAATATAATATTTGTGAAAAAAAATCGCTTTAGTGTTTACCAAAAGGATTTAGCTCTGATGATTATCAAGTGGACTCAACTTTGATGATTATCAAATAGACTGAATTTTGAATATTTGTGATATTGCTTGATTGACCAATAATCTACATAAGTTGTTAAATTTATCAATACATTACACAATTTATAAAAAAAAAAAAAATAATAATAAATAAATAACATAAAACAATAGCTAACCTGTTGTTGGCTTGAGGATGAATTTTGAACATTTGTAGTGTTGCTTGATTGACCAATAGTCTAAAGAAATTCAAAAAGTTATCAATACTTTACATAATTTATAAAAATAAATGCATGTCATTTGAAATTTCAAAAGTACGTAGGTAATACCTTACTAAGGCGGGTAGGTTGTGAAATAACTTTTGTCTTCTTATTCATCATCTCATGCCAAGGTTTTAATCTACCCCTCCCTTTGTGTCCAACATCTTTCTTCTTTATGCCCTTAACTTGTGTAATGTTGGGGTCGTCCACATCTAATTCATTGGTACCAAAACTTCCAACTCCCTTCATCATATTATTTACTTTTACACACAATTCCTTAATTCCTTCATTAACCAATTGATAGGCAGGTTTGTGCATAGATGCTTGAGTTGCTAGTTTCACCATTCTTGGACAAAGATCTCTATAACGTGCTAATATTAACAACTTCGGATCATCCTCATCCACTACAACATTTTTCTCTTCAACTTCACAATCTTTTGCATCCAATCTCCATCGGCCTAATATATACCTTTCGGGAATTTTCATAACATTCATTCTATCAAGTGCTTTGATTGCATGACTACATAAAATTCCAAAGTTCTCAAATTTCTTACAAGTACAATGTATTTCTTGACAGCTTTTTTCTCCTCTTAGCCCAATAACTTCCACCCTACCCTCCACAATATACTCTTTACCATTACCATACAAGCCAATCACGCACTTAACTTCTCCTTCTAACTCATGGAATTGCTTCACTTGACAACAAAGGGACGTATCCAACTCACAATGAAATAAATCAAAGATAGGAGGGGTGTACAAACTCGCAACTTGGATTAAAATGGGAGACTTTTTCAATTTCATTCTTGGCAACTTTTGTCTAGAATCATATATTGCGGAAATTTCCTCATACCGCTTATCTACAACAATCCGATTGAAGTGAGTAAAGAATTGAACAATGTTATGATCACCCTTCAAATATCCCCTTAATGTTCCATTTAGACTTTCACTAAGTTGTGTGCTTCGCATTCCTCCAGTAAATACCCACTTCATATACACATGCGCCCACTGCTCTCTTTTTCTCCAAGTTCTTTTCATCCACTCATTCTCTTGCAAATTGTATTTATCAATTAAAGAATTCCAAGTTTCAATTAATTCATGCTCATTCTCGTAGTCATAAATGCAAGCTTTTAAATCGCTACTAAATTTTGAACCACTCTTGAACAAGTAACCTAAATGCTTCAAAGCATTTTGCATTAGGTGAAAAGTGCACAACCCATGAAAAACCTCAGGCATGATTTGTGAAATTGCCTTAGCCATTGCTTGATCTTGATCTGTGAAAAAACTAACAGTTTTTTTCCTGACATTGCATCCAAAAATGTTTCAAATAACCATTCAAATGACTCTGTAGTTTCATCATATAATAATGCTGCACCAAAAATCACTGTCATTCTAAAGTGGTTAAAGCCACAAAATAAAGCAAGTGGACGGTACTCTTTATTTGTTCGAAAGTTGTGTCAAATGACACCGCATCACCGAAAAGCCCATAATCTGTTATCATCTGATGATCAGCCCAAAAAATAGTAGTAATCATCTCATCTACATCCAACTGAATGGCATAGTAAAAATATGGATTTTCTGCCACTTGCTGCTGGAAATATTTTAACAAACTCCCCGCTTCACCATACTGCAAGTTTCGCTGTCTTTTTGCACGTAAGTAGGTTTTCTGATCCTCTCGCGTGAACCCTACAAATTCCTTCCCTCCTGCTATAGCACTAATAAGATCATGTGAAGCCTTAAGAGATATTCCACTCTCATCAGCTATGTCAATATTTATACCCTGAGCATCACATACCTTTCTCTGAGATGGCATCAAATGAGTACATTGAGGAAGATGCAAAGGGTGGTTGTGGTTGCTATCAAACTTCGACACAATCCACTTCGACAAGTCCCGCTTAAAAGATATATGCATAAATGCTTTACAATTTGTTCTTGTCTCACTTCGAGGATTTTTTATCATCGTGTACCGTTTATCTTTTTCCCTCTCTCCCTTCTTACAACAAACAAACTTTCTACTAGTCATAACACCATCTTTCTGACTTTTGTTACAATAATCTCTTCTAATACTAAATCCCACAATTCTTTCGTATTCATTATAAAACTCATATGCAGCTTCTTCTGATGGAAACTCCATACCAAGATATGGTGATTTATCCTTGGCCAACTCTCCCATTTCTTCGATGCATCCCTCAAGTCCACCATCATCCATTATACTATCCTCCATTTCAACACTAACAAATATGGGGAAAAAATATATATATATTAAACGAAACAAGAATCTGAGCAAAAAAGTTATTAATTAATTTTAAATGCTGAGTAATTAAACAATTCAATGAAATCTAATAAATCAATTAATAATGTAAATTAATTAAAAGTTATTAATAAATTTTTGGGTAAATGTTATGTCATCATTTATTGAGTTATAACAATTTATGATTAAAAAATTAAATTCGCATTTTATAGTAAGATTATAGATTTTTTTATTGAAACTTTTTTTAGACCACAAAATGCATAACATTATTACAAAAATAAATAACATTGTTATAAAAATGTGTAATATTTCCACAAAAATACATAACATTGCTATAAAAAAAATAATTATGAATTACAAATTATCGTAACTCCTTAAAAAAATTATATAATATTTATACAAAAATACATAATATGTACAAAACAAATTACATAATAAAAAAAAATTTCTTATAATATACAATTGTGTTTCTCAATCCATTCACAAAAAACAAACCAAACTATTATACTTGTTCAACCCACTAACATACTGTACAAAACAAAATACAAAACATATATACATATAATATATATAGATATACATACCAGTTTGTTGAACAATAATGGTCTGTAAATCCAGCAGAAGAACGGTGAAGCAAAAATAAAGAACACTGTTCAATCTGTTTGAGAGAAGACAAAAATGTTAGAAAATAAAAAAATAAAAAATAAAAACTAACTTTTAGAAAATAAAAAAAATAAAAACTAACTTTTCAATCCATGTCA